AGCCAGTCGAGTCCGACTCTAGGGTTGCGGTGCTCATCTCCGTTTCCAAGCCGAAGAGCCAGCGCTGTCCGAAGACGTTTCCGTGGTCATGTGGCCGGCATGACTAAACACCAAGGTGCACGGAACGCTGTGACCTTCCCACCGAAGTGGTGCCTATTTATCTACTTGCAATGTCTTGCTTTCGAACTGCTAGGCTGGCAGGAGCTGCAACTAGAGACAGGAGCTCATTCCGTCATGCAGCCTACTCGGGTCTCGAACTGCTGAACTACCGACCTTCCTCAGCCTGCAGTTCAGCGTCTTAACCACTTGAGTTACAGGCAGGGAAAAGGGGGCCCAGCTGGGCAGAATTGCACCAAGTCATTCACAAATGCCATCTGTCTATACACGTCATAACTGTGGCAAGGATTTTGTATGCAAAATATTGGAGAAAAGAAGTTCTTACAAAAGAAGAAATTATCTACAAACGACTAGAAACGGCAGAGATGGACAAACTTACTTTACAATTCCAAGATAGAAAGAAGAAATCTTTGAAAAACCTTGGTCAAGATTGTATAAATGGATTGAGTGTATTTGCAAAGGTGCATACAATAATTTTGTATTATAGATACCAAAATGTTATTCCTTTTGTACTAGTTTACATGTGAAGGTGCATATAAGAATGATTCTATGTATGTAAAACAAACTGGATACAACTGGTACACGCTCCTGTATGTCTTTCATGTTAGTCTGTCTTGTAGACTGGCTTACTTATGTGTCTGTTCTTTCTTCTATGTAGAAAAGCGATAAAAACCTATATATTAAAAAAACAAATGCATCTGTCTCTGGAAGAAAGGGTTTGTAAGGAATTTTTCCCTGCTGCGTTTTGGAGTGGGACTTTCTTTTCGTGTATTTATTCGTTTTAACTTACTGTTTGAGTGGGAGCTGCCTAAAGGGCATTGTGCTAGGAACGTAGGTATACAATGTTTTAAATAAATACAGTTATTTAAAAAAAGAAAATTCACCAAGCCTACAGACTCATGGGATTTGAACTGCAACAAAGATTAAAGCCCACATCCTAAAATGTGCTTGCCATCAGTTAGATTGCTGCATTTGAATATTTACACATTATTTATTCAATTTAATCTATTGGAAGTTTCCCCTTTTTATGGCAGATGAGCAGTTTTGCAAAGAATTGTATGAATTGTGCCCTTAGCGCTGGTTTTCTAAGCTGCGTACCCGATGGTGTACATGAATAGCTCAAATTGTGTATGTGCTTGGCTTTGCTTCTGTAAGATGACTTTTACTAGAACTTTTTAATGTTAATGCCATTGCCTTTGCTAATTAAAATTTGCAGATAATAAAAAGAAACAAACGCCTCTGTCTCCGACAAAATCTCATCTATCTTTCTGCCTCCCTGCAGAGCAATTCTCTCTCCCTCTCTCTCTCTCTGCTTTGTTATGCTAAACCTAAAGGCCAGCCGAAACTACACATCTGCAACGTTTGGTCCCTCACAGGTGGGGAAATGAGAGCTGAGGGCGACTTGCACTTTGCAAAAAAAACAGGAAACTATTAAAAGAAATTGTCCAGAGCCTCAAGCTGACACATGCACTGGTTCGGGGAATGTAAGCGAAGGGTGAGCAATATTGCTTCATACCCTTCCCAAGCCGTGGGATGTTTTGGACAGGAGACAGTTCTGGATGACTGTGGTGCCTTTGGCAATAATCTGTATTAACATACAGGCTGGGCAGGTATTATGGGTGTTTACTGCTATGGTCTGAGGTCTCCCTCAGAGGCCCTGCTCTGTTTGCTCCCACTTTCTGGGGCCAAAAGGGCCTTCTCCGTGGTGGCACCCTGGCTGTATGTACATACATGCTATCAAGTCACAACCAACCTATGGAGACCCCCCAGCAAGGTGTTTTCAAGGCAAGTGGAAAGCAGAGGCGGATTGCCCTGGCCTTCCTCTGCAGAATCTTCCTTGGTGGTCCGGTCTCCCATCCAGTGTTCCCTCTAAGCTGAGCTAGTGTGAGCTAGCTCACAGCTTTTTAGCCTCCAGCTGACGGATTTGTGTCTTCGCCCAGGAAGGAGGGCTCCGACCAAACTAATTTATGGAGTAGCTAAATCGCTCACAACATTAATGCCAGTGGCTCACAAAGCAGGATTTTTGCTCACAGGACTCCACGGCTTATTTATTTATTATATTTATAACCCGCCCACCCCGCAAGCGCCCATCCAAGTAGCAACCCTGCTGAGCTTCTGAGATCGGATGGGATCAGGCAGCCTCAGGCTGCCTCCCCTCCCCGAGCAGGCATGGTGGAGTTGCAAAAGGAAGCATGGAGACAGAACGTAAATTGCCCCACTGTAATATTGTTCTTGCTTCCCCACTTCACACAGCCAAATCAGTTTCCTCTCAGCCAAAGTGAAACTGCTGCTCTTGTTCCGCTATCTATCGTTGACCCCCACCTTCACCCTGGGTTCAAATTTTAAAGAAACAAAAAAGGTGCTTTCCAACTCCAGGAGGTGGTGACTAATACAAAGATCTTGGCTGCAAAGAAAACACGGGCCAACGCTGTTCTTATGGGAACTAGTTAATATTGATCTTAGTGGGTACGTTTTGATTCACTTAACTTCGGTTTTACGATTTCCTAATATCTTAGACGAATACAAAGAGCTCTCCGAACTGATATGACTGCATTCCCTCTCCACTCTTTGTGACTGTGGTTCTTCCCATGTTGCAGATGGCAAACAGAAGGAAAGGGCCTGTTCTTAGCAGCATCTGGAAGAACATCTGCCAATGCTCCCTCTAAGCTGTGGAGTCTTGTGAGCAAAAATTCTACTTTGTGAGCTCCTGGCATTAAAGTCGTGAGTGAGCAATGGGTCTGCTGCGTGGATTAAGTTTGCTCTGGAGCCATCCTTCCTGAGCTAAGACTAAAATGTGTGAGCCGGAAGCTAAGAAATGGTGAGCTAGCTCACACTAACTCAGCTTAGGGGGAACACTGACATCTACTTTCCTACTGACACCTGAGATCAGACAGATGTCATGTTTCACCACTCTCCTCAAACAAATGCAACATCTCACTTGGAGGTAGCTCACCCAAAAACTCTTGGGTGTGAAACAATGTTCCCTCTAAGCTATGGAGTCCTGTGAGCAAAAATTGCACCTTGTGAGCTCCTGGCATTAAAGTTGTGAGCAGGTGATTTGGCTACTGCATAAATTAGTTTGCTCTGGAGACCTCCTTCCTGAGCTAGTACAAAAATGTGTGAGCCGGAGGCTAAAAAACTGTGAGCTAGCTCACACTGACTCAGCTTAGAGGGAACACTGGTGTGAAATTGACCGGCCCTGGGCCTTGACTTTAAACTGGTGCAGGCAAACAGACACAAAGACACACGCGCTCTTCAAAGAAAGCAGAAACAGGGAACAGTTCTGACGCAGAGCATCTTGCCCAAGATTTCTCAGCTCCAACATTCCAGCCACCTACAACAGAGGTAGATTTCATTTTTCACACAGTCACCTCGAACCACAGTCTCATGCAACGCTCTGGGAATGCACCAGTGCCCACACCCTGAGCTTCCCCGTTGATTTCAACGGAGGGGACAGTTCAATAAGCATGCGAGCAATGGGTGCTTGTTTCACAAGGCTTCCTTCCCCCATCAGAACGAAAGGGGGGGAAGAACAAACTCAGTTCTGCCGCTGTGTCATCCACAAAAAGAGTGTTCGGGTTGAGATGAAAACTGTTCTAACCCCCCTCCACCCTTTTATATTGGGTAGCTCAATGAACAGGTCAACCCAGTGTGTCACAGCAGTGGAGAAAAAAGGCAAACTCTGTGGTGGAGATTATTAGGAAAAGGGAAATGGAACAGCTAATATTACAATGTCCCTGGACAGAACTACAGCGTGGCCTCATTTAGAATACTGTGTGCAGTTCTGGTCACCGTATCTCCAAAGGGACATTGCAGAGCTGGAAACAGCACAGAGGAGGGCAACCAAGATTATTAGGGGGCTGAAGCATCTTCCCTATATGAGGAAGAAGACTCACCATTTTAGTATTTCAAGAGAAACAGTACAGAGGAGGGCAACCAAGATTATTAGGGGGCTGGAGCCCCTTCCCTATATGAGGAAAGGCTGAAGAGTCCGGGACTTTTAAAGAGATGACTAAAGGGTGACATAATAGGGGTTTAGAAAACTATGAACAGAATTAAGAGAGTGGACTGAGATAACGATTTTTCTCTTTCCTAAAACACTGGAACTTGAGGACATCCAATGGAGCTGGCAGGCCGTAGATTCAGGAGAAGCAAAAGAAAACATTTCTTTACCAAGTGGTTGAATAAAATATGGAATTCTCTGGCAGACAATGTAGCAATTATCACAGGCATCGACAGCACAAAAAGGGGATTAGACAGATTCACGGAGGAGAGATCTTTCAGTGGCTAGGGGAACCTCCACATTTAGAGGCAGCCAACCTCTAAATGCCAGTGCCAGGCGGCAGCATCAGGGGAAGTCCTCGGCCTCTATGTCCTGTTGTTGGCCCTCCAGAGGAAGTGGTTGGCCACCGTGTGAGACAAGATGCTGGCTTCATTGGCCCACTGGTCTGATGCAGGAGAGCTCTTCTTATATTGTAAGAAAAACCCAAACCTAACCCGTGTTACCTTTAAGAGATACTTGGCTTATTAGAAGAAGACTCAACATTTTAGTATTTCAAGGGAAAGAAATATATAGGTATTTCATGTTAAAGTTTTTTAAAAGAAATCCTTCCCCAGGGACACGCAAGCAGGGATGAGACAAAAGAAGGATTAGCGAGTTGAGATCACTGCATGGGGCTTCCTGGCAGACACACAGGGTGAGATCATTCAAACACCCCCCCCCCCAGTTGTTCAAACTATCCAGGAGGAAACGTTTGGGGGCCAATAAAAGCCCTTTGCAGACAAGCAGAGTTCTGTCTGGCTTCCCTCCCCCTCCCGCAAGTGGGAAGGAGGGGGGGGGTGTCAGTGACGTCATACCCAGAAGAAAAGTAAACTGATCTTACCTGTGCATTGCCGGGTAAACTCCTCGTAGTCGACGCCGCTGTGACCAGGCACTATTGTGGGCCCGTCGTACTTAAACGTCACCCTTGGAGAGGAAGCGCAGGGTCAGGCATTTCAAATCGACACCCAAGGGGTGCTCGATGCATAGGGGACTTTGACTAGACCTAGCTAATTCAAGGCTAATTCCAGCCTTTCCCATCAGTCTTTAAAAAAGAAAGAAAGACCCAAATGACTGGCTGAGGTGGGGGCGGGGAACGCAGCATCTATCCCAACTCTCTGCTCTCCCCTCCACCCCCCCCATACAACTGAGAGCCAGAGTGGTGTAGTGTCCGGAGACCCAGGTTCAAATCCCCACTCTCTCCTGGAAGCTTAGTGGGTGACCTTGGGCCAATCACCCTCCCCCCACCCCGCCTAACCTACTTCACGGGGTTGTCGTGAGGACAAAGATGGAGGAGAGGGGAGAACAATGTGCGCCGCTTTTGGGTCCCCCTCGGAGAGAAAGGCGTGGCATAGGAGAAATCAATAAATAAAAACAACGCCTATGGGGGAGAAAATGAGTAAGCCGAGCGATTCATCCATCCGCCCTCTCAACTACAGGATGTGGGCGCGCAGGGGCTTAGAGCAGGGAAGATGCTTCCCCCCCCTCCCGCCCCAGACTAGATTAAAAAGAAATGCCCCCCCCCCCGGTCAAACATCGCATTTTACCAGTTCACATCTGTGCCGTCGTCCCTGACAAGGTTATAGGCTTCCCTGCACGCCTCTTTGTCGATTTTCGTGGCCATTTCTTTGCCGGTGGGGGGGGGGGGTGGGGGCAGCGACCCTGCGAGGTTCAAGGAAGGGGGCGAAGCAGAAAAGTGCGATCCGGATGACTGGAGGCGGCGGCCCCCCCTCCTACTGGCGCAGACGGCGCTCCCTGTCTCATCCAGGCAAGGGGCGGCTGGCTGGTCCTCCGCCGGGTGGATTCTCTGATCTGCCTACAAGAGCCGCGGGTGGTGGGGGGAGATTCTCCGGTCTGTTCGCAAGAGCCGCAGGATTCCCGGAGGAAAGGACGGGGCAAAGCGAAGACGAGGCGAGCTGCTCCGCTCTCTGCAGCCGGACTTGCGCTCCCCTCCGCAGCCCTCGCCGGAATGAGCAGTCGGAGCGGCTCCGGCTTGCTTAACCCCTTCGCTGCCCGCCGGGGAAGTGCCGTCTCCGGCGCTGCCTCGCGCGTCTCGATTGGTCCTCTGGCCGCGAGGGGGCGGGGGCGGCTCTCCCGCTTCCCCGCCCCGCCTTTCTTCCCGCTTGCAACTCCCCCACCCCCTTTTTGGGGGGCCCGAACACCCCTCTCTTCTGCAACGCAGTGGTCTTTTCCTTGTCGCCCACTGCTACCCTTTCTTCTCCGCCTTGCAAAAGAGAGAGAGAGAGAGGGAAGCATTGCTAGGATTTCAATGCGGTGATGTAATAGATTCTCTCTCCCCCCCCCCCTCTTTTTGGCTGAAGCTGTAGGAAGCCTGTGGTTGAAATGTGTGTGCAGAGACTTGGGGGTGGATGGGGGGGAAGTCGTCTTTCCAGGAAATCTGAGGACCCCCCAGTTTGCGATGGAGTGGGCAGGTTGCTATGGCAACGAACCAGTCGGGAGCTCGAGTGCCAAAGGGAGGCATTTTCTTCAGGTGGGGGGCACTGGTGGGCTGGCCCGTAGCCAACTTGGGGCCCATGGGGCCTGGCCCCCTAGTGTTTCTTCTGGGCCCCCTCCCTCTCGGGCTGCCCCAAAGTGCTCCAACTTACCACCTGCATTGTACTTTCAATTAATTAGCTGGCGGGCCCCTGAGGCCTCCTCCCCCAAAATTCCCTAGCTACGAGACTGCTGGTGGGGTTCTTCAAGACCCGTGGAAACAAACATGGACCCTTCGGGGCCAACGCTGAAATCCTTAGGAACATCTAGGGCAGGGGTGGCGAACCTATAACACAGGTGCCAGAGGTGGCACTCAGAGCCCTCTCTGTGGGCATGTGTGCCATCGCCCCAGCCAGGCCCAGACCATCATTAAAGTGTCGAATTCTCGGCCAAATACTTTTGAGAAAATGAAAGCATTTGGGATTGCTTTCCTTACTTTGTTTGGATCCTCTTAAGTCAATGCATGACTTGTTTTTTCTAAAGTAAAACCTCAGTATTCAGGTTAAATTGCCGTGTTGGCACTTTGTGATAAATAAGTGGGTTTTGGGTCGCAGTTTGGGCACTCGGTCTCTAAATGGCTCGCCATCACTGATCTAGGGTAACGGGTAGCAACTCAAGGGGTGCCACCTCCAGGTGGGGCCTGGAGATCTCCCAGAATGGCAACTGGATTCCCAGAGGAGAGAGATCAGTCCCCCTGGAGGAAATGGCTCTTTTGTTTTTTTTCCAAAAACAATTTATTAGTAGGAAATGGCTCTTTTGGAGAGGGGGGGGGAGGCTAGGGTATTATACCCTGCTGAGGTCCCTCCCTCCCTTCCCCCAAACCCCGCCTTCTCCAGGCTCCACCCCCAAAGCTCCAAGAATTTCCCAACCTGGAGTTGGCGAACCGTAAGCGGCCCTCTGGCAGAGAATGACCTCCCCCAGAGCCTGAGACCCTTTAACTGGACATGCCTGGGGACTGGATGCTTGCTCCTTCTACACGCAGAGCAGCGATCGGTCTCCTCAAGCTGCAAGGTTGCTTCTAAACCTATTGAAGCTGCTGCCTTCTACTGAATCTGGCCGTAGGTCCGTCTGGCTCAGTTGTGCCCCTTGCAGTGAT